CAGCCACAAGTGCCCTGGATGGACAACATGTTCTGGTATCGCACTACCCTGACAGTAAAGAATTTCTTCCCTATATCTAACCTAAATTTCCCCTCTTTCAATCTGTACCCAATACTTCTTGTCCTGTCACTAGAGTTCCTGACACAGAGTTCCATTCCAGCTTCCCTGTAGGCCTCCTTCAGATACTGGAAGGTTGCTAAGTCCTCCCTGTGAATCCTTCTCCAGCTGACAGAGGAGAAGGATCCTAATCCTAAGCAGTGTCAAAACTGTGACAGTCCTGCTGGATCGGGTGGGATATACATGGCTTCAGTCTGTCAGGAAATTGAGCTGCCAAACAGAACGTTGCTGAGTTGTGATCTCTGACGGGGAAATCTGTTCTTCCTTCTTGCAGCTATCCAGAAAATATTACCCCAGAGACTGAAGATGTGGAGCCCAAACCCATGGTCATCGGCACCAACAATGTCTTTGAGGTTGGGTGCTGTATCCTTGCTGTGGAGTGACGGATACGCCGCACTTCCACGCCGATACAGGGGGGAGGCAGGCGTGGGCTCTATCCATGTTCAAACATCCCAGTGCTGGGTGTTGGCTCGGAAATGGCATCAGGGTTTTTTACCTGTTGAAATAAAAGCCAAGCATTTTACAGTTTTGCTTAACACAGACCTGTAGATTCCCAAGCGATGAAGGTGGGAGACAACAACGTCATCGAATCCAAAGGTAAGTCTCGGCTCATCATCTTTGGCCCCGGTGAGGTTTTGCTCCTGGAGACGCTGCGGGGGACGACTCTCACAGGGATTCCTCTCTCCCCCTCCCTCTCTGGCAGCATTTGTTGGCAGGAACGTGATCCTGACGAGCGGCTGCATCATCGGGGCCTGCTGTAACATCAACACCTACGAGGTGATCCCCGAAAACACCGTCATCTACGGGGCCGACTGCCTCCGGCGCGTGCAGACCGAGCGGCCGCAGGTGGGTGTGTGACACGGGGGGACACACCCGCACCCCCT